GACTAGGTTCACCAATTCACGATTCGAAGGCAAAATAAAGATCTATTGCAGGACGATTTTGTTGACATTTAATTGAACATAGATATATTTATGCAACTAAAAATGAAGGGTGTAAAACTACATATTAGAGCTTTAACACTCCAGCATGTATTTTATACCTTGCAATTTTACTTTAAGTATCTATGAATAAAGAATCAAGAACGTCCGGTTTTTAGCCATATAGCAGCTACAATCGATAATGCTGCGAAGATGTCAGGCCGGCAGGAAAATTTGTCTAATAAAAGTTGAATTGCTAGGCTAAAGTTAAACTATTGATCTTCAGTATCAGTAATTAGTGAAAGATTTTTCGGAATTGGGGCAGGTCATAGTGAAAAGCTAATATTTTTCATTTTGCAAGCCTGCTGTAGTGTCTTGATAATTTCGCACGGGCGTCGAACAGGTTCCTAATTCTGAAACGTTTAATTCTAGCTCTGCTGGCTACACATGCACATAAGGATACATGCTTATTGAAAAGCGAGCGTGTGCGTGACGCTGACTTAACGAAACCGTACGTCACAAAAGCCCATTCAAAATCGTGGTACCACATATGGCCGAGAATGAAATAACAGCCCAGTTACTACGTTTTGGTTTGTCGACACTCTTAATAGCCAATTTTATGGGAAAGCAAACAATAAAAGGGAATACAGGTTAGTTGTGGATAATAATGATTATACTTGACAAGCGATTTCTTTGGTATCTGAAAAAATTTCCCCACTATCCAGTACCGTATATTTCTATAACTCATATAGAAATTTTCTCACATATATCGTGAGTATCGTTAATTTCTCAAAATAATCTCTCAAAGTTAATTCTTGCGAAATTGATAAAAATGAAAATTATGTTCCTCTTTTGGGCTTCTCCTTCCCCGACAAGTACAATGGAGGGGATCGTTCATGTGCTGGAATCTAAAAGTTAGTTGTAACAGTGGAATAAATTATTTATCTGCTTGACTTTCGTTTTAGAACTCTTACTGTAACCTGGTACTATTAGTAAAATACAGAATTTATAGAGACTATTCTCTAGTAACTTTTTAAGAAATTGATGAACTTGGAATATAGCTTGTTTATCCCGGTAAATTGCGTCCCACAGTAAATCAAATGGGAGGACTTGTCTGCAGCTTTTAAAGTTCCGGACCCAGATTGCTTACATTCATCAAAGTCATCCATCTTCATTTTTAAGATTTAAAGTGGTCTATTTAACAATTCCCACGGTTAACAGAAAGTATCACCTTTGGGAACTTGGGAGAACATGCATCGTATCAGCGATAGAGTGAAGCGTTGTTTAACGGGACTCGATTAGCTGGGTCGGCCCGGGACCCAAATGTGAGCCAATAGTCTGACCGTGTGACTGCCGATTTCACCGTAAGCTTACATAGTAAAGGAGTTGTTCTAAAGATAGATATTCCACGAAGCAAGCCTTCATGGCGAATGTTAAGAATGAATCACATTGGACTTGCAGGTTCAAACAGCTGCGTTTACAGGTAAGGCTATTCTATGATTTACAAATCATAGCAGGGCATACAGCGGCGCATTGCCTGCCTTTACATTGATTGTGTAAGAGATATTCCATTTTCTATCCGCGACTTTTTTTAGTAGAAGCTATACGTCGAACTACATTGACGCAATGTAGCAAGATACAAAACAGCCGATGGTCTTACAAATGACGATCTGATTAGCATCCTGTTATTGTTAAGTTTAGTTTTTCTCAATTTCGAGAACCCTTTTCGCCCACCAATTTCGAAAATTGTGTACTCTCTTTATGGTTATTGTTTATACGTTTTAAGTAAAAAGTTGATTTTTTTTTACACCTTTACACAAAAGGATGTGAGTGTAGAGAATATAAGTTATCACGGCATGTACAGCGTCGAAGCTCAAAAAACCGTTCTATGGCCGTCGTACTCATTCGACCTAAGACCTCTGAAGATATTTCATTTACGGTTTTTTGAAAGACAAAACAACACGAATAACTACCTAAATAGTGTTTCTCTGGTTGGTCATTTATACGACATTATACAGGGTTTGAGAAACGTTTCTCACCATTTGCGGGTCTTCGTAAAATTGTTTTAGTGATAACTAATTGCAGCATATTTGTAACAAACGCACCCAAATTTCCTTATTACACTCTACTATAAGCTACTAAAATGCGATATGCGAATTTACAACGGGTATTTAGCTGCAGGAACGCAGAAGCACGCACGGCACATGTTCAAAAGATACAATGGGGAACCAACTGTTGGTTGGTTATGGTGATCAACATACACCATTGAAGGAACACACTCTATTATAACATGCTTGTAGCAGAGTATTATACAAATTATTATTGGGATGATATTAGGGTACTCCTGTGTTTAGCTTAAATCAGCTCTTTATTGTAATAATTTGCTTTTTTTTTTGCCACCTTGAAAAATGTGAAGCGAAGACTCTCCAACTGATCAGAAGACCTTTTTCAGACTGTCAAGAAAGAGACTTACGTCCACCTACTAAGTTGTTGAGTTTAACGTACACTGAAACAACGCGCTATAATAAGTAGTGTAAGATTCGCTATCGTTCATTCATAGCGTTCATTATAACTTCAACTCATAGAGTTTCTGTCGTTTGGACTCTATAGAATTTGTTCCTAGATAAATCGGCATAAACGAATAGGCTTATCGCATAGATAATATTCCCAAAAACAGACACGTGATGGAGGTAAGACAAATTATGGTAATCTACTAACTGATACAGACAAGAAACATAAAACAAAGCGTGCACATCGTCGACTGTTGAACACTTTTATTTCCAATAGCATTTTTATAGTTACAGAAATAATACGCAAAAAAAAATCTGAAGGAACAAGAAAGACTGCTTTTCCTCTTCTGTGTTTCCCAATTGATTCTCTCGATTATACCCTGACAGGTACTTGAAGCATAACAATGTTCTGGTATACTGTAAAAATGCAGGCTACGAATTCATGGCCACGGCAAAAAGCAGAATTAAATGAATGTCTGTTTTTAAGCACGCGTTCGATACGACATATTTATGCTGAGCTTATTCTCTCTATTGCAAAAATTGTAAGCAAATATGTGTGTATAGGGGTGTGTTGGTGGGGGTGGGGGTATATCTTCTCTAGTTTTTAATACATTAGGCTTTATCCTGCGAAAAAGCCATTCCTATATTTACGATTATGTCTGCTAGGTGAGACAATAAGTACAAGATATTCTTCTGAAAAGCGAAGTTTGAAGGAGACCCTTGGATGTTACACCTACGCCCTAATAGTCAGACTGACTAGGCGAATCGTGTTACTATGTTACTCTAAGATATATTTGTCGTTTCAATTATATCTTATTGCAGCTTTATGCACCGTGTAAAGCAGTGAAAAACAAGATATATCCAATTTAATTAAAAACGATGGTAGTATGGATTTTTTGAAAATTGTTTTATCCACCCTGTAGAATTTATGCCAAAGTCTGCCGTCAGACACCACTCGCTCTCTTCCATGCGTCGTTTAGCAGCCTAGTTGAGAACCTATGTAATACATTTATCGCGCGATTCAACATGTTGCCTGCGGTCACTTCTCAGCATGTTTTAATGAATCTTCGACGTAATTGAGAATGCCTAGAAATGCTAAAATTACAAATAAAAGATTAGTGTTTGAAATTTGTTTGTTTCTATCGCTTCCTACATCTTCAGCATCTTACGATACCATTGGGTAATTGTTTTTCTATCCAGCACGGGAAGGTTCACCATACCGGAATGTTTACCCAGTCACATGTTAACTAAGACAATGATTATTGAAACGGAAAGACTATGTATTGTGCTCTTCTTATTCTTAACGCTACCGGTTTGTTATCAACTGCCACATAGTTGAGACACCACAGTTGTTTGGTTTCATTTGCAGGCAGAACACGCGGGATTTTATAGGTAATTTGCCACCGTTGACGTAACGTCGACACGACGATTGGAGGTTTGCGTGCGGCACAATATAAAACCAACGCTGCCAGAAATGCTCTACCGTCCGCCGCTTAACCCAACGGTCAAGCTTACCTTACGACGATAAATAGGTGTAATTGATAAAATGCCAGAGGAGAATATCATGCAGATAAATCGGGTTTTGATGGAAGACAAAACTTCTTTAATGTCGGGCTGGTTTCAATGCTTTTACCGTTCTTTGAAACTTGTATTTGTGGAAAAAAATCCTTCCCATCTTTCCCTTCCCCCGCCCCTTGGACGATCTCCCGCGGCACCCCAAACAGGGCGGCTTCCAATCTGGCCCAGATAGAGTTGCCATCTTTCTGACGGACTGAGACAGACCTCACTGAAATTCGCATTATATACATATGTTCGGTGGTATAGTTCGAAACGAAGTCATTTTATCTACTTGTCATGTCATATAGAAATGTCAATATTATACGTAAATTCGAAAACGTTGCAGAAGGCAATATCGCACTAGGTGGATTACGGGATAGAAGAAGAGTTTGATTTGGGTATTGCCTGGCGTTCTGGCCAAGCTGTTCAAAGAGTTGGTGTACAGGTACTTCGATAAAGGTTAAAGAGCGGCTCATTCGCCGTATAGGTTTCAAAAATTCCCCTAAGGTTGACAATTGCCATGTGACATGCACCAAAGTATATCCAAAAGCAAGGCCAAGGGTGGACATGAATGACAGAAGATACCAACTAAGGATTGACTCTGTTCAGAGAGCACATTGAACCTGATAAGTTCCTTGGTGCGTGACTCGTCGACAGATATATATTACTTCTCCTGATGCTATCCACTATGGTTACACATATCTTTTGACCTAGGAGGGAACAAACAGTATAACACAATATATATATATATATATATATATATATATATATCCTACATATATATATATATATATATATATACCTAACCTAACAAACATCACACAATTTCTCCTCGTCTGTTTAGCAATTGTTGTGTGCTGCATAGTGATCCAATACTATCGACAAAAGAAGCATTAATGCAGAGCATCAATATAATATTTTATTATTACTTTAGCTATAAAGGACATACCCAATGTCTCCATTTTGGTCGATATTGTCCTAACAAGTGTATATAAAAATTCGCACGTTACGGAAAATATCTGGGAATGCTGGCGGTACTTTTCATGGGATTCGAGCTCTTTTGTAGCACAACGCCCACTACACTTGACAAGCTGTTCGGGTTAAGAACAACTGAAGAATTTTCATTGGCCACATTTAATATAACTTATTTTGTATTAAAAACGCTGTGCTTCGCTTTCTTCCATAAACGTACCAAAAAAAATATATCGATGGTTCTTAATAGACATATATAACGGTATTTGGATATATAAGGGAAATGGCAAATAAATCTTTTACTGGACTAAAGACCGTACTGACGTCTTCGTAAGCCTTTGTCCCTTTTCTGTGTAAGCCCTTGAGAAAGTCGCTAGATCCAATAGCACAGGATACCGTAGTGGCTGTTCCATTGCGACACGATTCAACTGGTCTTTGCTTCTGCACGCCTCAGGAATAGATTTTATCTCGACCGCAGGCCCTTTTGCAGATGTATCTCCTTTTTGGGTGACCTTTTTTCATCGCTAAGTGGCTCCTTCTTGACATTGGTCGTACTCTCTCCTTTGTCGTTCATCTTACTTTCGTTTTGCTCCTAAGACCGCGTCCGATTGTCACTATCATTTTTCAACGATTTACTTTCAGTGGTATATTTCGACTCGGTCTCGTTTTTTAACCAAATTCATTTTTGCGTTCCTCTATTGACGATCCCTCGCCGTGAACGTCGTCAGCTTTATTTAGATCAGTAAGTGTTGTTTCATTAGTTTCGTTAGTTCTATTTAGATTATAGATGTTATCTTTTTCTTCCGTATGATGATTAATCCTATCTGCAAGTTTGTCATTTTTGTCCCCTTTATAAACACTAGTTTCAATGTAATCGTCATCTTTTCCTTTTTTGTTATCATCTGCCGCTTTGTCATAGTCCGCTACCCGATCATAGTGGTTAATATCGTCAACGAATAGGTTCCCTTTGAGAATTTGCGCGACGCCTTCATCATCGTTGGCGCATTGTTCCTCTGCGTCACTTCCGTCAACATTGCCCAAATCGTCATTGTGGAGGACTTCCACGTGTATTTCACCCACATCATCCTCGACGTCTGGAGGCGGTCCGAGTAGTGGTATCGGAGGTGGAGCATCCAAATCATTCAAGCCTGCATTTTGACACTCACCCGCCACCTCATCCTGCTGTGGTGAAGACGCATAACGTTAGAAACATGGTATATTCAACAAGTTTCTTAGTTGTCCTAACAGAGGGATTATTGTGAACTACGCATTATTCATACCACCTATTCTCATAAGTCAAATTATAACATGATTAATTTCTTAACGAATCAGTTTTGTAACGACACTTAGGATTTCGTTGAAGTGTTCATATAAATCTGAAGAGTTTCTACCTGTGTGCGGCGAGGGCCATAACAAACATTGCAGGTGAGCGCCGGTCTTGAGGCTAGAATGAGAACGTAACGGGCATCCCAACGCAAACCTAAACGGAGTCCTGAACCAGTGGCGCTTGAATGTAGCCGTCTAGCTAAAGCTTCCCGTTGCTCCTCAGGAAACGACATGATCACATCAAAATAGTATGACTCCACCGATCCTGCGCACGCCGCGATCGCATGCGTGCAAGACAAGGAGTGCATTTTTATGTACTACTAGCTATAAGTGCTATTTATCATATGCAAACACTCATCATAATGACAAGTAGCTTCTGAGTAAGACAACGAATGTACCTTTGTGTTCATTCTTCTTCTCAAATTTATACGTGAAGTCCATGATTTTAGTGCGATGCACACGAAAGCCAACGCTCTCCATTATATGAGCATAGATCTGGAATGTCAAGATACACATATACCACTTAAAGCTAAACCTAATACAAAACATTTCTTGTGAATGCTTTATGGTACGCTTTATTTTTTCTAAAGTGAACACGTAGCCCTGCTGTAACATTCAGATTCGCCCTGCTATAAATAAAAATCCCATTTTAAATAGTGTTATTATCTGGGCGTAATTAACTAACGTGTGTGACCACTTACTCTGTCGGCCCGAGGATGACCATACCAAGGCTTTTTGTTGATATCCAACGCCTCGGTCGCCCATTGGTTTAACTGTTTACCCATCTTTTTCAGTATGATCTACTCCGAGAGACGATTATATAAACAACAACAACAACAACAACAACAACAACAAGTTGAAATAAATAGGCAAACATTTTACTTTTTATTTTCTCAGTACTACTCATCACTTGAGACGTACATGCTCCAACGTAGCGAATGCCAAACCTAACTAGCCACATAAACCCTTCTTATAATCCAAATTTTAATATTAAACAGGCATATTCAGCCTGGCAACTATCCTAAATCTAGCAACACCGCCAATCTCATAGTTCGAAGATTTATGTAAGGCGAGTCCGGTCTTTCCCCGGCCTAACTAATAAATCAGTGTTATTATTTAAAATGGATGTACAGCATTAGTTGTCGGAGAAAGAATCACGGATCCGTGTAGGTGTGCTGCATTTTTGTTACGATAAACGCTACTTTATTACTATGTCAATACCCTGACTCCCTGATAGGTATTTTCTGTCTCACTCTATATTCTTTTATTTGTACCTTGGTCGTGGTCGTAGCAATGTCCGCTGGCAGCTGACATGGTATAGCCAAAAGCAATCGTCCCGTCGACGGCTTGAGACACCAAAGAAGATTTCGAAGAGCCGCTTCCTGTCATAAAAAAAACAGCAGGACAGGGCAAAAAACATGTCAAATGACTAAGCAGAAACAAAGTTGCTAGTAGCTGTTCGATTATCTGGTTGAATATATCTGGCTTTTCTACGGCACAAATAGATACATAGTGTTATCTAACCATTTATGCCGAACACGTGCCGCAGAGTTGCCCCTAATTTGTACAGCCTCTTGACAAAATAACTGCAGCTCTGGGATTTCGAATCAACCCGCCTTATTACTAAGTAACATTACCAAACATGAACGAGACGTGTGTGGTTACAAATACCTCATAGTTGCGACATTTTAACCTTTAAAAGCGCCGTTCTGTTGGTGAGCACTTTTTCATCACTTGAATAAATTATTGACGTAAGTTTATTGCCCAAGTAGGATTTATGCATATAAAACTTAGTTACCTGATTGTTTAGATGAAACAACGTTGGGTTTATATGTAGCACCCAGTCAAATGCTTGACTATATTTCAACGGGAGACGATCTTCAAAGTCAGCTATATAGGAAAATTCCAACTTTTCGTCGGCGAAGTGTTTCGTAGCGAACTCTATGCCGTGTATATCCGTATCCACGCCTGTCGTTGATATATTAAGTACAAACAATCTCTTTTACATAAAGTATTCGTAGAAAAAGCTTTATAAAATAATACAGTTAGGTAAATTATTCTTCCGCACTTCCTTGCACAAGGTTAAAACCCCTTGCCACAAAAAGCCTTGCCAGGGGGGTAGGTATTTAAGCACTGAAAGTCCACTTTTTTTTATAACTAAGCAACCTTAGAAGATCGGTAACAGAGTTAAAATTTGAAGGTGAAAAATCTAACATTTAATTTATATAGGTACCGCGAAATATACTGGATAGTTTTCTTTGAATGCTTCCTATCCCCAATTTGCCGCCGGCGCATTGTATATACGTAATACATGTTCGTTATAACGATTTGTGTGCAGCACACAATGTCTTGAGCTTTAGCTCGCATGTACCAATGGTCATGAAACGGCAATTTTAAAAAATTCCACTAAGGTCCATTAAAAAGATCTAACCTATTGAAGCTACTTAAGGCTTAATCTTAGTAAAACGATCAAGGAACGCGATAGGGTACATACGAAATAATCATATGAACACAAGTAGAATTTATAGCTTAGTGATGGAACTTTCTGCAGCACATATATATATATGTCCCACCATTAATTTACTCGACATCTTTTAATGATTAAATTCTTATTGTTTTCATTCGATCGTGCAAAACGCAGCAACCAATATTGCCATTCTGTAATATTGTAAAGCGTCGTTCATTTTTGATACATCGATTTCGAACGATGACACACGACCTGTGCTATAATGATATGTACAATATCAGGGCTACTTTACAAATGCAATGCTTGCAAATACTATGTTATTAAAACGATGACCTCAAGATTTCCCTACACAAACAAAAGAAAAAAACTCTTCATAACTTTTTTTTTGCATATATGTTGTCTGCAACAGAAGGTTCAGTGATGCTGTTGCATGAACGGAGTGGCTATGAACGGATGCTCCGTGAGAAGCTGTTCCCTCACTAGACTCCTTTTGCAAAAACTCTGGCATTTCGAGTGTACACTGGCCGGCGGCGCTGTCTTGTTGGAGTCACGCAGTCCAAGTCTCACTCAACCAGTTTCAGCCACATGAAATAGTTTACCACGTCTCTGCAACGAGCATTGTTAAAAGTTGATTCCAAAAGATAACGGTCCAATGATATTTCTTGCCCAGAATGCGCACCATACTGTTACTGCAGCTTCATACGGTGGTTGCTTGTAAATAGAGCGAGGATTTTCCAACACCTGTACGGGACCGCTTTGTTTGACTGTCTGCCCAGTCGGTAAACGCCTCATCTCAAAGTATTGCTTTCGATGCAAAATTAGCATGGCGTTAAGGCTGTCTTTTGGCTAATGTGGCAAACGTACGACTGTAAACCAGAACTTCTGGGTTAAATGCATTTTATGGCACCAAACACCAAGATGTTTACGCAGCAAACGCCAGATATTATTGCACTAGATATAAATTGTTGCAATCGGAAAGGAATTGAGATGTTCTGGGACGTCCTCAGCTGCCGTGCTGACTCTTCATTGATGCTCAAACTACGACCGGTGAGAAACACGAATCTAGCCGTTCTAATACTGAGAACTTTCATCATGCTATGATATGGGACCTCAGAACAAAAATTAACGTAAAAAGCTGGGTTAATTCAGTCGCTCGATTGAACCGTACCGCGTATTCCGTCGATTTTCAACGGCGCTAACTGCCGGCCGAGCTCTTCGCTGCGGTGTCCATATCTGATAAAGAAAATAAAAATGCAATTAGCAGCTGATGAGTAGATTAAGATATAGGGAAATTTCATAAATTCGATAGAATCACACATCTATATGTCCAAACCCGTTGAAAATTGTTTCTACAGCTCCGTGGTAATGTTTGCTCATAAATATTGGCAAATCAAAAGAGTAATATATATATAAAATGTGGCTTTACGCTCACTTCTGTATCCGATTTCTTAAATCTGATAAATTAATACGGGCCCAAGTCCTGCGTTCATAACGCTAAAGGCTTGTCTGAAAACAAAAAAATGTTATCGTCTGCACTAGGAACTTTTCGTAGAATCTCATGCTTATTCGGTCACGGTTTTTCAACATAGTATTCATTTACTAGTATTTATTTAGCGTATGTAGCTCGTTGCAGTGGGGCTTACCGTGAGCCAACATCGAGAACTTTTGCTCCTTTCCAGTCCCACTCCGATGTCCACTGACTGAGCTCGCAGAGAATTCGCTCTTGCAGAGCATCTGAAACCGCCAGTAATTTTGCCAATTGGAGGTCAGATAGTGATGACGATTTCTGTCGACCACTTAAAAAGAAAGCAAATACACTTACGAGCTAATATTTTTAAAAGCATCCTTCAATCTATTTTGCGTTTGAAAAAACGAAAATTTTAAACTAGATTGAATTTTAAAGTATTATTATTAAGGTCAGTTAACTATATGTAGCTCAGAAGGCTATTAGATTGACCGCACCGTCTTACCAGTATCACTATTTAGTGGATAAAATACAGAGCTAGTCATGTTTAATTCTTCTTTGCAAGCATGTAGGCTTTCCCAAGGGGACATCAAGTATATCGATGCATAAATGAAATACGTTTAGCACCTACATATAGTTAAGTGTTTCCGGGCAATATGCGGCTCCCGGTTTATCAGTTCGCATACACATCAGGAAGTAAGGACAGGTTCACCGGCATCATAGTCATCATCGCTTTCACCGATCTTTCGAGCGGTGTAAGGGTTAACCAACTAAAGTCAGTTAAGTAAACGTTGCATGTAAATACTTTAGTACATCGTGTAACATTTTAGTGCACTTAGATGATTTATCTGAGATACAATGTTCGGTACCATGAGGTTTTGAAACAGGTGGAAAAAAACCTAGTGACTTCTTACCAGAGTAATTGCGAATTTAATACCAGAGATTTTGCAGACACAGAACCCGCGTTCCAACTTTACTCACTTTGGTAAAAATCCCGCTGCATGTTAATCTTTTCTTGACTAATCAGCTAGCACTTCAGGTGCTTGCTTTTACCGATATCTAACTCCTACGGAGGAAGTAATTCGGCTCCTTATCTTGTATTTGAATAGGAACAATGTCCGACGGATAGTAATATCGGATAGGGTAGCGTCATGGCGTGTACTCTGTGTAGCACTTTGACGAGTATTTCCTCGCGTTCGTGGTGTTTTCGACCTTCCTACTTCTATAAAACATGAAAAATAGCACTAGAAGTAAACAACGTCACCGTAAATTTTAAGCGGAAGATGAATACTCTATCGCAGCAACGTTTAATACTATTTGGTATAGCACAGGAACATGGGAGAATCAAAAAGATACTGGTGATCATCTAACGCGAGTCACCATGGGCTTCTCTGCCGGGTGGAAAATCGACTCAGGCTTTGCGAGGGCTTGCGTTAGTCAACAGGCCGGCTTGAGGAGGCCACCTCGCGCCGCTTTGCTGAATACCTCAGAGAGAAGAACGCCTAACCGGGGAAAAGTATTTCGATGGGCTCTACAGTCTTCTATTTTCAACCGCTGGCTAACGGGTGCAGCCCCAGTCGATGTCATAAGATAGACACCGTGGCTAGCCTGGCTAAAGGTCACGCATAGTATGTAGCGTTAACATCTACATGCTGCCGTACGCCATTCGGTATTAGGCTAGGACCTTTCTGGGTTGAAATTGTTGGCCAGTAGCTAAATGTTCGCTTATTTTATCGGCGCCCCGTATAATGATTCACATGGAAAGAGTCGCTAGAACTGTGTACTCGCGAGTTATGGAACAGACAGAACGTAAGATAACTCAATATATGCACATCGAAATGCTCTAATTCACTAAGCTCGAAATTCTAGAGGAAAAGCTTTACGGTGACTTGGGATAAGCTGTATATCAAATCCTTACCACTATTGATGCATAATGGTTTAACTTCAGGAGGAGCTTTTGCGGCATTGATGTGTATCACTTGCCGTTGAAGTCAAAGGTAGGTTGATATACTTTCGATTGTCGGACAACGGAGCGGCTTAATTTTTAAAAAATGGCTTTCTATACTAACCACTGGGCGAACATTTTCTTAAATTGCTTAAACATTGTCCTCTGCTAAATGCCTCGAACATAGCAGAGTCGTACTATCAGAACAGTATATTTTGTTTCGCCGATTGTACTAGGCAATAAATATCGTGTATTTCCCAATAGATTGTCTACATTATACAGCTGGAGTATGATTGTAGTCTCTATTAGTTGTATCTATTAGTATCACTATACAAATTAACGCCAAGTGTCATTACACAAACTTATATAGTAGTATATGTACTTTCAGAAATTTTACACTTTGAACGACACTCTTGTTTTCTGCATAGTATCACGTACTTCATGTTCACTCATTGCAGTAATCGGCAAGCAAAAACAAAACTCCGATAAGGCTGTAGCGTTCCCATACAACAAGGAGTATGCTTCGTTCAGTGTAACGTATTACATAGGTAAATGCGCTCCGCTCAGGCCACACTGTGCACGATTCGACGATTCGAAGACGATTTGAATATTTAAGAGCTATTTAGAATAGAAAAAGAAGAGCACGGATACCAAAGCATCATTCACTTTTTTTATTTTGTTGCCTTTTACTAGCCAAGCTGTCGGCCTCAATGTGGCTTACATCCGTTTCTGCAGTCTTACACGATTAATCTAGTTACCTGGATTTATAGCAGAATCGGATATGGAATGATTGAGAACTTTAAAGCTGGAAAAAATAAAAAGACTTCCCAAGGCTGTTATGGTCGTTCGAGCGATATCCATAGGGCCTAGAAACTACTGACAAACGTGGTCGCCCTTAAGTAAGGGTGCTGTAGATGCAGAGCCGTCGTTATAACATCCTCGTTCCAATGAAAACTTGGGGATTCATCTTCCGATTGCCGTCTAGGAGCGAAACTGGCGAGAAGTGGCAATCAGTCCAACACCATCGCCTGTTCTACTTGAAAAATCTAGTTGAAATCTGAAATCTGGCCATGTCATTTCGCCAGGCCATCCTGTGCGATGCTGCTTGCACGGGCAAAAATAATGATGTATAATGTTTAATGATTGGCGCTCGACCTACGACCAAACTGGCGCTCACCGTAAAATCGTCTGCCGCTGAAGTTCCCAAGAAAGGCTGAATGAACACTGAAATACTGCCTGCGGGACGGTACCCAGGACACACCAAATGTTTCCTTGTTGATCATGATTTCCTCCTTCCGAGAGCGGCGGAGATGGCCCTCTAAGACGCTCGTTCTCGAGAGATTGTCATAAAAACATTTCTCCCTATTATAGCATTCTATAGGTAGATCGCCTTCGCTACAGCTGGGTTCGCTGTCATGCTTGGTCGCCTCCTGGCTCGCTTCTGTCGAGTCTTGTGTTGGCAAACTTTTGGACTCATTCAAGCTCAATTCCCTAAACTCTTCAAGTGCTTTGTCAAAATCGAATTCCTCGTAGAACTTCACAGTAGTCTTTGGCCTGGCAAATTCTCCAGGCTTGAAACGGAGCCCCACACGCCGACGACGTAGAGGTGTAAATACTTTCGTATGGGAACTCGATCCGTTTTTCTGTCTCGAACGGTTGCTATGGCGACCCACGTAAGGATTACCACGTCCGCCATGGCCACCCATGAAACAGCGTGGGACCTGCGGAATGTGAGTGAATCGACGATTCTGATGACGGTTTTCATTTATGGGATCTGAACTCACGAAGCTTACGTGACGCGCGCCCTGCACAAAACATAATAATTACGGTAAGGTATTTAGTTAAAATCAAGCATCATCGCTCTATCTGTCTGTCTCAAGCGCAAGCGTGACGAGCACAACGCGACAAATCTACTTAGAGAATGATCTGGTTAAGCTTTTGATTTGAATTGTAGTAATAATAAAGCCAACAAACAAATTCAAGCTGTGTCGCCACTGGTATTAAACCTATATCAGCAATGCGATATACTTCGACATCGATTCACAGAGAACATCCAAATTAGCCATATATCAATACATAGTAGTGTTCTCACTTGACTGACGCATGCTTCCCAGTAATAAATGGACTTCTTTTGCCGGCCAGTACAGCCGATCTAATAGTTACCTTTTCATTCCTTTGGGCGTTATTGATTGGTATAAATTTTTTTTTGCCCGCTTTCTGCCCGACTACTCCTCGCCTAGCACTACTATCGTTACTAGGCTTTGAAGATTGTTCTTTATAGTCCGGACAGGTGGCATAAATGTTAGTTCGGTTGTTGCTGGTACTGGCGTGGCTGCTGCAATTGCTGCTTCGACTTGCGCTATCACCGTCGATGCTCTTATATTTTTTGGTTTTCAAACGGGCCTTCTTATTAAATCTGCTTGTACTGTCGATTACTCTTGGGTTAGCTTGTTGTTGTTCTTGCTGCTGCGGCTGCGGTTGCTGCTGCTGTTGTTGCACAGGCTGTTGAGGTCCGACCCTGCCGCAAACGGCTCGATTGTCTGTCACTGGGCGATTAACATCGGCACTGCGCGTACAAAAGTCGTCACTTTGAGGAGGGTCGGCGAATTTTTGAACTAATGCAGTTGGCGTAGCAACATATAAACCCTGTGAGCCATCACTCTTGGACAAGGCGTATGCTCTTCCACTCGGACTGGACAGGTATCTGCTCTCAAGCATCTTGCTAGTTTCTTTGATGGGAGTCGATGTAGAAGATAACAAATTGTGATTGCGATCAGCAGCGCCATCAACTCCTACGATGGCAAAGAGACATGAAAATAAACCGAGATAGAAGATTAGTTGAAAATAAGTAGAGGTAATTTTGTGCCATGTAATTGGCATAAGAAAATGCTGAAGCTGATCATTTGACGGCAAACACACGCTAGTCTACGTGATCGCACGTAAACTAGCGTGTACGATAGATACGTACGGTAAAAAGATCTCTGAACACCACGCAACGTGGCCAATGGCGTGATACTAACGGTAAAAACAAGCAAAAAAGCACAGAGCACGCTTTGTCTGTTTCGAACCTATTTTATGACAGTGATGCGTAATATATTCCTATCTACCGATACGTACGTAATGACGAAATAGGAGGGCGTAATAAGTCGGCACAATTGTGTTAAATTGAAAACTTCCGTCGACGTTCTTGTTTTTTTTTTTGTTTTGTGATTTTATTGGTCTATCTGCATTAGATAGTGAGATATACCTATTGCCTCATATTTTACTCTAGACCAGTCAGCTGTACTTACGGGTGAGGGGCTGGAAACTTTTGATGAGATCGACGTTGAACACAATGAATCTATAAGAGTCGTTGGCTGGTTGCACCTTTATTGAAGCCGCTCTCTGTTCGGTTCCCATGTTTCGAACTGTGAGAACGAATAAGTCGAGTAAAAATAGTGTCGGTGTGTTTTCCCCATTGCTATTTACCGTACTCATTGATCATGACAAAATCACACCCCGACGGTCTGTCGATCGCGTTTCAGTGACAAGATTTCTGCCGCGTTTACCCTGTCATACGAACATTAGACATCGCAATGGAATTGTCTCCTAATACATACAACATGAACAACAAACCACATTCAATTCCGCGAGTTCGGGCTTCGAGAAATTTTCCCATCGAATCTATCTAAATCCATACGTTCTCTATACGATTGGCCCAGACGCCATTGGTGTCATAGAAACCCATTTTATCATTCCCTCCCTCCCTCCCTCCCTCCACTCAAGTGACTCACCGTTCTGCAGCTCAATTGTTGCCTTTGCCGTATCAATTGACCACAGCTTGCCCTCATAGCGGATATTCTGGTAAGTAATGACTGAGATATGCTTCTGCAAAAACCTCTCAAAGGTTCTATCCTTTATGGCAGCCGCAGCATTAAGTTCGATATTTGGATGTCGGAGAAGTTCTTCAATTCGATGCGCCTGTCCTGTCGCTGTTTGTAAAGGCCTATTAAAAGGTGGTTCGATTGCAGCCACTGCATTGCGGAACGACGAATACCTTCGAGGTCGTACAGCCGCCTGCGGCATTTCTTCGCCGACATCGCACGGAGATCGCCCACAGACTGATCGAGCTGGCGCTATCATCGTGTGCCCACGTGCAACGTCACCACTTTCCCAATCGTTTGACGTCTCGTACGCGTGATGTTGCCAGCGGTCGCAGCCGCACAGTAAAAACTTCGGTAGGGTTGAGTTCCCTGACCGGCTCAAAGCGCCGGTAAGCGGTGACGTGCTGAACGCCCTCGATGGCGTAGTATGACCTAACCTCGCTTCACGCATGGAGCTTAGTCAGTCAAAGATTCCTCAACACAGAAAATGCTACTATAACGAAAAAAAGAAGCCACTGCTACTACAAGTGCTGCTACTGGCGTTTGTTTGCCAACACAAATCGTCACGCGCATACAATCAAGATCTTATCGTAGTAATAATATTACACTGAGGAGGCGATCCAAACACCATGTGCAAGTAGTTCGAACGTGCATCAGGTTACTTCATTACGGAAACGACCGCGTTGTTTGACATTCGCGTTTGGATTCTGTTTCAAACTGCGTCCATTCACAAGATCTCTCGCTTTCAACGCATCATCGAAATATGATTTGTCGTCCTCTAATCATTAATGACACAAAAGTTTACTTGTGATAGCTGGTGGGCTGACGCGCGATGGCGGCGGGATATCTAGAATGTCAGAAACAGCAGTTGTCGATCTTTGTCCCTGCCGAACAACGAAGCCCAAAAAAATGCTATACGATACTAAACGGTTAAGAAAAATTATGCGTTTTCAAGATGATACGGTCATAGTCTGTCTTCCTACGAAGGTTGGGGACAAACGAAGTCGTCTTCGGTTTCAGACCGGGCGCAGATACACTGGGAGTCGGGCGTCTAGAGCCATGCTTCATCGGACGTATAGTGTTAAACTTGCCTACGCAACGGGTGTGAGGTTTCAAAAATGGCCTTTTCTAAGCTTTTGAAAAACATCTAAAAGAATATTTGATTTCTAACGAAACAGGCTTCTAAGATTTTTACCTATTGATGTATCGGTAATATATTGTGGTAATCGAAATCAATTGATTAGCTTTCTTATGTTTAGGAAACGTAAGCAGACCAATCGAGACAGCATAAAATGGCGATCTGCAGTTCGGCGTTCTTCTTTATTATTATTATTATTATTATTATTCTTTTCTTTATTCTTTGTTCTTACAAGCACGACCACAATAAACAAACACTGCACTCAGCATAGGATACACGGCAGTGCTGAAAAGTACTATTGCCCGAGTAAATTATCGAATAGGCGCTATACAGCGTTTCCTTTTTCCCGTAACACTACCAGGAACAGTACATGCTACGGTAGTTCTTAGCTCAGTGCTCAAATCGATAACATGCAGAATTGAACTCCTGAACTTGCTGCTTCTTATATGTTTGCTACGATGTCGCTTACTCAGCTAAACGCTGTATCCAGGTTCAAAACGTTGCTTTTACGTGCATACGGCCGCCGTTCAGGCGAGAAAAAGCGCCATAGAGACCAACCTAGAAATTGGTCAGTCTGCAGAAGTAAGGGAGGGTTAATCAAAGACGCCATAGAAAATCGGTCATCCCACGCTGTTACAACAGGGCCAAATCAACAATCGAATTCAGGTTATGACAGCCAATCGGAGACCCGTTTGAGGAAGTTAACGAGTACTGAACCTTTGCCATGCATCTAGTAGCAGTTAATAGATAAAAGCCTGCTTGGTCAACTCACAGATATCAACCAGCTTCTAATGTACGCTGACGGTCGGCGCTTAAGTCGCTTAAGTGGGTAGGAAAATTACACAGTAACTCTAAATTGAAAGCTCAAAATAAAAAGTCGATTTGATAACGTCATATATATTTATTTACTTTCTGAAAATTATTCTTACAGCCAAAAAAAATGCCATCATAATTACATCCGCGGTAGCGTAATGATTCCGCTATACACATCTGTTCCGTTAGTCCAATAGCATTAACTATCAGTAAGACGAAAAAAAGATCATTCAGTAAAGGGTGATTAATATCTTAGTGTAGGCGTGGTAGGTATGGTCACGATCATCCAATCTTCACCCTCACTCGAAGTTTTAATGATAGCATTTGCCTCTATTAGCTCTTAGTGTCTTCTCATTCTCATCAAAGAATAAACATTTAATGATTTATCTTCTCCTTATTACAGTCATTTTCAATTATTATTATAACTGGCATTTTAATAATACATATATAGGCTCTTCACTGCTTCATAGACGGACGTATTTCTAGCTCTAAAGTCCTGTTTAAAATATTGCATATAATTAAAATGAACTATGGTACTTTTTTCATGTAAGCCCTGCTTTTACGCAATCTGATCTGCAGAAGACTTGTTTGACATTATGACACGCGCACCCTGTATCTTCCCTTTGTATCACTCCGTTAGTTACCATAGTCTCATCATTAACTCGTATTCATCTCACGAATGCCCCTTTCACAGACGTACTCTTATGTAATACTATACATACAATTTCTCGCTGTGGTTGCGTTTGCTAACGTATCACTTACAATATAGATTAAAGTACAGTGTAACGTTTTTATTAACAGTTAGTAGATGTTCATGGTGTCACCTTATATGACGTCATCATATCCTTCAGCTCGTATTCCCGTATCCCTTGAACTAATCCTTTAAACCTATTCTATACTACACATAGGATTGAGTCTGGTTTAATTAATTAGAATTACATCCATAGAGCACATTTTTTTACACTACATACACAGGGTGTTCCAAAAAAATTCACACACTGGTGCCAATCACTTGGATTTTGCGCACTAATCTGTTTTAGCGCACTTTAACGAAGATGACGAATTTTAAATCCAATCAAACGCATCGTAAGAGGATATCTTGATGAGAATCTTCCAGAAGAACAGATGGGCTGGACAAAGTAGTGATATAGAATACCCTGCCCGTTCCTCAGAACTGACGCCACTAGATTTTTCCTGTGCGACTACCTTCTGCGAAGTCTGCGTCAGAAAATTACGATACTGAAAGATTTAAAAGCCACAATTGAGAAAGGGTGCGCCGCAGCACTAAACGAAGTACTTATTGTTAAAGTTTCTGACTTAATAGCCGTCGATTGCTATCAGCAGTGATCAGTTACTAACCAGAGGGCAATAGTTTGTGAAATATTTGCGGTAAGAAGAAAAGCTTATGTAGATCTATGCAGATTCTTCTGTCTTCAGTCTACCTATTGATTACCCTATGATGGTGTGTACGTGTACAGGACTTACCGCGGTAGATTTCTTAGATTGCGAGTATCATGCATTGCTAAGGAGTCCGTCAGTCTCGGCCGTAAAAGGCCACATGATGATAATATTTCAAAAATAAAATGCTGCAATTTGTTATACATCACACGTGCAACATCTATTGGCTGTCAAACAAGGATTTCTAGAAAATTATGGAGTATATCCTTTGATGTCTGTCTAAGAGGTCAGTGTTCCAGCTGTTCTCCGATATGGTTTGGCATTACCAAAGCTTTCTCTAATGAGATGAGCGGCGACGGCAACCCGTCTACAATGCTTAAACATACATGAGTACCGTAGATCTTTTGACTTTCTCAATACGCTTCTTTTCGTGGTCTAAACTCGAAACAAAGGATATTGTTATGGCACTTTACATCCATGTAGATAAGAGCATGAATACTGTGGATAAAATTGAAGAAAAAAGCCTTCAGTACAGAAACTTATTTCATATGCACTGCAATACATCGTACTCACCACATAGAGTTCAATTTCAATGCGTCTTGAAGGTTTCGAGGACTATGCCGAAACGTTATGCATCGACAAACAAGTACGGAAATTTATGGCATTGCAGGTACTCGGAGTATGATACTTTACATACTATGAAAAATTCTGGCTCCTGCCCTTATTTTGAGCACCTTTTTAGATACGTACAGATAAATACATGTCTTATACTACAACAATAGGATGTATCCATTTATTACGTGATCTCACACAGATGTTTCGCCTTAAGCGGCATTTATATGCTAAATCTTTATATCGAAGGCTTTTTATTTGTCCCTTGCGTCAGACAATCCAAGACTGATATATCTATCAGATAAGATAAAGATCGTAGCAAAACATCAATGTATTGAATGCATACATTAAATAATATATACATTTGTTAATCTGCAGATACCTTCAGAAGAGGGATCCGGGCATTTCGAGTGGCAAATCAACTGAACTACGGAGCTCAGTGTCGTCTAATGTACTACTGCGTCGCCAACTATTCACAACTGCCTGCTCCCCGAAGGCATTTGCGGTTGCCTCGAGTTCGGGTTCTTCAGCCACTGGTCCGTTTTCTCGTTCTGACGAAGTCGTGCGCATCAAGTAAGCTCGTGACGCTGGTCGCTCCATACCTAAAAGCACCCAACAATATTAACTGAATTAACCGAGAGAAATTAGGCTCATAATTTCTATAGTAAAAAAAAAAGAGATTATCATTAACGAGATCACGGAAAAGACAGGAATATATCAGTCATTATGTATTAAAACTGAGGCAAATAGGCCTTACTTACCAAGTGGGTTGAGCACTAGGAATAAGAGAATATCGGAAAGCGAGACTATGCCAACGCAGCATCCATTGTCATCAGCAATCACGAGTCGGTGAACTTCTGCTACCACGATTTTTTTCATCACCTACAAGGCACGCAAAGGACCGGATGGACACGTTACTTAAACCTTAGTAGCATTACATTCTTCCGAATGGCCATTTTTAACTTTCAATTTCAGCACAAACTAGTAGTGATATTTTGATTTGCCTTTTGTCTTAATAACGTTAACGGTATATTTCCGATAAGGTTACCCACATCGGGAATGTCTACAACTTAACAAAATGAATAAAGACTACTGACTATACAATTTGTACATATAATTAGAGACCAATTAGCATAGGTACTGATGAAATAGATAACAATCTAGAGAATAAGAAAATTTCCTTTCAGGAAAACTGTATTTATTACGGCGTCAGCATAACACGAGTCACCCAACTATGCAACCCGTTAAACGAACTTGTTTTGCGCTAACTACTAATCACCTCAGGGCTGCTCTGGTCGCAGACAGTTCCGTAAACTTGAATTCCAAAATCCTTCACGCGGTTGATGTATTTATCTAACTGATGGCAATCAGTGGATGTTGGGTAGATTTAGCTACCTTCCTTGCCAATCACTATCGGTATCCTCCAACGTCTAATTCCTGTCGTGAACATTTGTAACTAGGGCTTCGAACAATAAATCTACTCTTAAGACAGTTTGGTTTTTTTGTTTTGCCTTATAAGAGAAGCTTTACCTCTAACAAAGAATCATCTGCGGAACACGTGAGGACGCCTTCGAAGAATTCGTTGCGGAACTCTAGAGCTTGCCCAACACTCATGTCTAACTTGCTATACGTCTTTTCCGCTGCAAGATTCTAAAAAACAATATGACACATAATATTAGACTGTACTTGTTTATAGAGGCAACTGGGAATATAAGTTTTCGCGCATGGTGAGATGGTTTTTGTCAGCAAACTTACTCGGGAAATACTGTGCTGTGACAAGTTTCGCAAGGACAGATTTCCAACATGTTAATGGCTAACTGAGATAAATATTCTTAATTCGTGTTAATCACCTACCAGTTCTTCTTTGAGATAACAATAGTAACAAGGATGTGTTCCCTATGAATTGGAAACTCAGAGCTCTAGCTTCTGAGCTCATTCTTCTAGTGCAGAACCACATTGCTGCCTAGTCCGTAATTTACGCGTGTATAATGTAGCGAAGTTATTAGGCCAACATGGATACATACGATAACGTCAAACTTGGCATAGATGTCCACGACTCGCCCATCATTAGCCACCACAGGTAAAGCTGACACGCGCCGTTCAACAAAGGTATCCAATGCAACGATCAGAGGTGTATCTGGTGTGCACTAAAAAAAATTATGAATCGCGAATGAGAACCTAAGTGTTGCTTTCAAGTTTTACTTCCGATACTGCCATTGAGTATCAGTTCAGTAGACAAAGTGTTTATCGTCGGTTTCGAACCCAGATCGTAACGAGCAAGAAGCTACCTCCCTTAGCCACTGCCGTCGATATTTTTCTACAAAGCACTATAGGTTTTCATGAAGACGCATGTCCTTCCTACTTTTCAAGCCAACATCTACGTCAGTTAATCCATGCAACAAGGAAAACTGTCTCTAGATTGCCAACTAGAAAGAAAATGTGTGCGACAAGAGTATTATTCTTTGCAATCGCCAATCGCGGTTTTCACCATGCTATTACTCGAAACTGGCAAAAGTTCAACATATTGTGCTATGAACGCTGTATATGTAAACATAACAACAAAAAGTTTTGTCCAGTCTACGTTATTGCAAAGCCGAAAAACAGGTGCGTGACTCACAGTTGCGATATTCTCAAAGGTGCCCACATTGAGCTCTCGTATGCTTTTGTCCAGATAAGTTGAGTGCGGCAAGTCGTAAAACTGAAACAAATATTAAAAAAAAAAACATAGTTCGGCATTTCGAAGCGCATGATGCCACTGGCTTTCTTTCAAGCTCCGCTCAGGTTGTTAAGTTTATTTTCATTATCCTTGTTTTTCCGCTAAGTGAAAAGGCATAGCGCCATTTAATGCCAAAAGTCCCCTCAAAAAGTGCGTAAGGAACCGCTATCGGCAATCTATGTCTCCAGCATGTCCGTACGACGTGCTGGTACATATTCCTCAACAAAAACCTCACATCTTTAATATCTACGCTGAATTGTAACAAAATATGGTACGTTATTATTTTCTAACTACAGTATAAGCCTGTTGCTATTATCGATTATTCTTAACGAATAATAAGACAATGTATTCTTTACATTGTTTCTATCTCAGAAATTATGACAGGGCTAAATGGTCATCTTATCTATTGTTGATTGGTAATTCAAATTATCTTACTCTGACTGTCAAACACTGCGATCAACAGCACTCGCTCAGTATTCATACCTGTCTTTGTATACCTGGGACTTTCTTACGGGATAAGCGCACATACAAGCGGAATGCACATAACTGCTCTAAAGACTGCTCCTTGACTACGATACTTATCGTAATGTCCAGTTAGTTCTACGTAAGTTAAAATGCAGCTGTCTTTGTTTTTTTAGTGTAGAACTTGCGTCCGTTCGAGATAAGGTCGTAAGTCATCATCCTACGCAAAGGTTAAATCAACAACGTATGATGCATAATTGGTTAACTTCCGTATGGTCAGGCACATGCCGTCTGACCCATAATCGAGTACTTTGCCGGCGGTCATTGTGACGGATCAAAAAAGCTGTTAATCACAATAAAAAAAGACCTGTGTGCAATTAACATAATATAAGCATGGATCTTGCGTGCTACATGTGAGCTGCAGCAAATCTATATTGAGGTGTATCTCTTCGCTTACATAGAGGAAAAGAAACCGCAATATTCTTTTGTGTGTGAGCACATAGAGGACGTTGCCAGTTTGCGGATCGATTACAGGAAGCCGGTGCACCCGCTGATGAATTAACGCGATGATCGCGTCACACAGCGACGCGTCGGGCCCGATCGATACCAAAAGACGCTGCATGTTCGTTAAAACCGCTACAAAAGAAAAACACAACAGGATGCAAAAAAGGTAAATACGGAAGCAATGCAAATAATGGCTATCCGAACACGTGTTCATTGCGTAAGGACTAGAACACTATGTGTTGAAAATTTGCACTTTTTATAAAATCCCAAAAAGATCTATCGTTAATTGGTCTTTTCATAGATCAATGTACACCACTGGTCGAATATAAGGGTGATTTAAAGGTCAATCTCCGTTTCGTACTAGTATTAGTCGTTATACCGGTAACGAAAAAAAGCACCTTCCCTTCGAAACAAACCTGATTTTTAAGAAATATTTACCTTTGCCTTTATTATGACGTCTACGTTTGTCTACTTCTAAATATACACGCGTTTTCTAGCTCGTTCCGTACAAAATGAATCTATTATGTCGTGTCAGAAGCGATCATCATACACCATAGAGAACTTGTTCTTTCAGAGCTTATAATTTTATTGTTATACCAACAACTTGTATGGAAGTTGAATGGATATATATGTAGGAATCGTTATCGTTACGGAAAATTATCATTATCTGTTAAAATGAAAAATTGTTTAGTATAAAAAAAAAAACGGTAAAGATCCTAGCAGAATCGTCCGCCGGTCAACTCATCGACTGCTAATGTATCTTTTTACGTTTCTTCGATATGTATTTTGCTGCCACTCAGTGTTTAGTGTCAGAAAAAAAAAATGACAATGATTATGCAGACGGAACAAAGGCCGGCTCAGGTTCCCCACCTTAATCTGTCGGATTCAGATAACTATCAGTGACACGTATCAGGACCCATAACATATACACAGAGCGCATGGCGACAAAACTGGGCACTGAACTGACTTCCAAAATGGACGTAACGTGAGCACAACGATTACACTTATTCAGCGATATTTATGCGAACTTCGTGTTGCCACTCCATTCGAGGCTCAAACTACCCCTTTCCCCATGTACCCATTTACGACTAGTCGTTTTTACAACTCCCGCTATAAAAGAAGATGAAGAGCTGGTAAACGTTGTCCAGGTTGACGAGCGCAGATTTTGTCTGTTGCAAGGCAAAGGGGGTGTAATTTGGACGTAGGAAACACAATCTTAACGAAACATGCCAAGTCGACCATTATATCAAGCAAGGCTTCAACACCACGCAGTAGAAACACGATTAATACTAACATTTGACAGTGACTACTGCAGGAACTAAGACTAAATCTACTGTGTGGAAACAACAGTGGCTCAAGAAGCTCTACGTGCAAGTATGGCGTCACCGACGAGACGAGTCGAGTCGAGTCGAGCCGATATTTTGAATAATGGCAACGTCAGTAAGTGATCCATGATGTTATACCAGTCTGACCATGTCGCTAGGAAACATCCATATTGCTTCTAGAATGTGTTATGGCACGTAAAAATAGCACGGAACTACTTATTAGAAATAAACATATTTTTATAGCTATTTAGTAAACGAAGCTTGTTTAATTGTTGTGTTACTACTTATCGGTCAGGCAACTTCACATCGCTGATCTGACAATGTTTCTGTATGCAGCAGGTCCTATCACTAGTTGTCTGGATCGATTGCTAAGCGTAAACGCTTTCATTACTATGCTCTATTTAAGAATGATAATTATAGTTTTTTCTTTTTTTTTTTTTTCGAGAAAACTCATTAAGGTGCTTCATAGTTGCTTTTCCTTATTGTGGGGAGTCGAATTGGCTCTAGCTCAAGATATCCACTTCGAATCCCTCCTGTTTAATTTAATTCTATTGGCGTCAACTGGGCAAGGGCTTAGATGTTTTACGACTATGTCAAAAATACGAGAACTATTGATTTTTCATTCCGCTAGCTAAGCGAAAGCTAAGTAGTAAAACGCGTTCTGGAACATTTGCTATATATAGTATCATGTCTTTCTCTATCTTACGTAATCTATTGCAAAAAATAGGTGTATCAGTATGCATACGTGTGTGCATGTTAATACTCAATAATTAAGATCTGCCTTCCAGCAAGATTTGAATTGGGTAAAATCTCAACGACAACCTGTTGCTACATGCAGGCTGGAAGTTAATCTTACCTATACAAATGTAGTAAAATTAGTTTGGGATTATAACTGGAAAGTCGATGATATCAGTTATTGCTTCAGTTAACAGGATGCATACAATGTGGGAACGGTTTCATTACGATGGGAGGATAGGACGATTTGAATAGAATAATAGGCAAACTGAAAGAAAGTAATGAGGTTACTGGAATATTTAAGAAGAGAACAAAACTAATGCAGCAGTGTTACCGTAGTAGAGATAATAGTTTAGCTTGCATGAATCTAATGACTGGAGCAGAAAATTAGGGGCAAAAAACTGATCTGAGGTAACGGAAACATTAAGACAAGGCTACTGCCGATTGACAGAATCAGGGAAATATAATGCTGTATAGGCAACGAAATAACGCAGTTGGTACAGTCAAGGTTCGGGAGCATAGTTCACAGGTTGGCCGTCACGCTAATTTACTTCGCTCATGTTATAACGAAGCAGTGAAACAATTGCAGCAAGGGGGCCACAGGAAAGTTATAGGGTTGAATAGCTGCCAACTGTCTTTCATTAACCTGGCTGAGATTAGTTAAACAAGCAAAACCAATCATGGAACAAAACCGGCAAGTTAAGCACTTGTGTACGCTGTGCTGCCATAAAGTTTTCCCGATAATATTGATTTATTACATGAGCAAAGATCGCTCGAATCCGTTTTGAAAAGACCATACCCCAGACACATCCGCCACTTTATGCGTCAATAGAATTTTAACGCTAGTAGGCGACGAGGCGTTCGTTTAACTCACTTCTCCAAGTATCAATTTTGTGCTGTTCCAACTCGTCCATCTGCAGTTGCGGGTTGCGATAGTATTTTCTGAGCATCTGAATGAAGTCGCTGATGGTCAACATGCCGACGAATTGCTGTTGAGCGGAATCCCAGAGTGGCGCGGCACGGACTCCATTTGATTCGAGGGCGAAGAACGCTTTTTTGACTTGCAGTTGTGTGTCAAAGACGACTAGTTTCGCTGACAACGGTATGAGATCATAGCAGTGATAATACCTAAAACCAACAGAAAAAAAAAGTCCAATAACCCTTACAAACGGATCTGCCGACTGTGTACGAAGCAGAGCAACAATTACTTTTTACAAATTACAAATTTAATTGATAACTATGGGTGCTTGTGAGACATCTGACAAATGATCGCACTGCCATTTGTTTGGATAACAGCATTAAAACTTTACCGAAAACGTAGTCCTTTTGTGGCGGGTTAGTTTGCCTCGTTCCAAACCTACCTATCGTTCTTGTAAAATTTAAAACGAAATTAAAATATATTCATTTTCATGTATAGTTTCAAAAGATCAGTTACTGTTTTTATAATTAGACATAGATTTTAATGACGGTAGGTATGTGATGGACATATGAAGTTTTAAAAACGATTATATTAATTATTATATATTATATAACGGCCAAATTGATTGCTAGCCGCAGGTAATCTTTTTAATATATATAGTATCGTATGGAGGACGTATGTTAAAGCTGACTGATCAAAGTTAGTCATCCTGGTACTTAGCCTGGATATCTGGATTCTTTTTGATATTTTCGGATATATTTTTACTTCGTCACATCGTAACTGTAAGCACGAAAGTTTCATTGAGCACAAAAGCTTTTACTATCTGGTAAATATTGATTTTAACTCATCTAAACTTTTAGTAAATAAAAATAAAATTTCTTCTTAGTATTTTATCAGATCGAAAGTCGAATCTCAGCAACACCATATCGCGTTACTATAAATTTAATCCTTATACCAAAAATATTGATGTCAATATCAATGAAGACACCTAGTCCACAGGTTCCTAACCAAATAACAAAAACACAAACATATACACCATGCACATAAATGTATGCTTCCCGACTTCTCAAGCATTACTATACAACCTATATACTACTACAACCATAGGTAACGATGCAAAATAGGCCCAGATACATTTTTAGGTAGCAGACGAAGGTTTTTACCGTCACCCAACTCAATCATCATTTAATGTGATTCAGACAGCCCCGCAATAGCTAGAAGCACAAAGTCTCCCGTTTGCGCTTTGAGAATCATGGAATGAAACATTATCTTTTTACAGAACGTTCTATTTTTTGCCGTAACGGAATTCGACCAGAAGAAAATCGTTATATTTACTAGCCTTATTTAGCGTCTGACATTGATAATTCACAAGGGTGATTTTAACCATCGATCATGATCTCTTTTATCGTACAGACAGACGTTCTAAGGCCCACCGATGATTACATATACTATCAATATCCAATGCATTGTATTTTCGCGATCATTATGGACTCCGAGTTACCGTTTCTTTTTGGCTTCAGCAAGTGCTTCTCCTATTATTCTAAATCTATTCTCCAAATCTCCTCTCGCATCTTACCTGAAAAATTTGACGAACAGGAGGCTTTCGTCAGCTCCTAGATCCTCAATGTCGATTCGATCCTCACAGATCGACGTGTCTGACGAGGTAAGCTAAAAGTGGAATCAATATATATATGAATATTTCACACACAGTACACAAACGGAATAATGAATTGTCGTTACAAAACAACCAAATCTACTCTCTGCATGGGCTGATATCTCCTAACATCAGTAACGCTAGCAGCCCGTCGCGTGTTGAAGACTATAGTGCTCAATATAAAGCTGGTGAGTGGACTTGTCCTTCTTTAGAGGTGTTTAGTGTAGAAAGGGGGATTTGTGCATGGAAAATATTCTTGCTTTCAATTGTCCACGCAAAGGGGGGAGTGTAACATGGAAAAGAAGGCATTGTGTAGCATATATTAGCTACGAAAGAACACAGGCGCAATATCGCCTACAGTACACCCTTTACACACACAAGCTATTTTTAGCAATTATATATTAACTGTGGCACATTTAATAAAAAGATTCCACCTCGAACAAATCGTCTATAGGATACAGTTAGATTCTGCATAGATTCTTTAATAATTATGATACATTTGGGTGTGTGGCAGCGTTTAACGTACTCGCTTCAGAGACAACTTTTTCCTAATCGAAGATGACTTGTGTTGCGGGTCTAGAGATAAGGAATCCGGAAGACTACACATTTTTTATTCTGAAACTGTAAACCCTTTCCTGGCTATGCGCGTACCAGTTCACCATCTTACGCTTTGTAAGATGTGAGCGGTTCCCAGATCCAGAGGACAATAGCATTTCTAATCTTCTGCGTTTTTTTTTGACCTTAAGTAGAATATATTTATTCATGTCGAATACAGAAACTGCATGTAACAGAGGGACAATGCAACTTCCTTACGGAACGCCAGAGAAGGTGAGCAGCAAGAGATTTCGAACATTGTCAACCTTTATGCGGAACGAGCTCGCGACCTCGAAGACCGTCACAAGTCATCGTAAACTGGAGAGGTGCATTCCCAAGTAGGATTCCGTAATCCACTTTGGCGAACACTCTTTTGATTAAAATCCGTTTAATGGTATCGCATACGACCGTTCATTTATTATACATATTCGAACGTCAACAACTGCGTGCAGATGAAATAATGGACGATGAACCTGTGCAGGGCGGGGCCAAACGTCCATTTCACAAAAAGGGTCTGCGTTAAAGTTCCCTCAAAACCCCCCTCCGGCAGGCAACTGAGAATTGGGGCACGAGGCGGCAGTTCTCCAATGTGCTTTGCAAATGTAACGCGATACGGTTATGACGATACTTTAATGAAAGGGATCTGGGATTACGCCGCAATTAAATGATTTAGCAAAAATGAGGCCCATGTAATTAACACCAAATATAGCAAATTTATTATAAAATATACATGGAATATTTTGACACGTAAAACGGTTTCTGCCTTAGGATAGAAATCTAAATCGCTGAGATATCAATTAGTGTATCCAAGAAAAAGTATTTGATTGCCACTACGAAGTTTACTGACGTCAGCTGAGCACGCTGAGACAATCAACTGAAGGTTTATTATAAGGCAAAAGTATTCCTCTGTGAATGAAGGGTGTGTACGCAGTACAAGACGACGATGAACGATACGGGGGCGACTCGCTTTATTTCTTTAGTCAAGAGTTAGCCTGTCAGAAGAATGGCCGGGTGCACCAAAGGTCAAGCTTCGATTCCGCCAGAATTTCAAGTTTAAGTGAGGTTTTGATAACTCTGCTGGGTAGAGCAGAAGAGGGACATGGTAGGATAGTTTAGACGACTGATGTAGCAATAAACAAATCAGACCCCATCTTTGAAAATAATAGATACTAATCAACATCCTTTTTGTACGTGTAATTATGATCGTGTCTGTTAAGGGATACATTTTTCTCATTTTGTATCAAATACGTTCGCAATGAATTTTTTTGTTTAATTAAGCCGGCCAGTCAAATTGTATGTCGTCATAGCAACGCATATTGTTTTGACCATACAACAATATCGACCTCACAGTGTATTCGCCGTCATTGTTGGTGAAATAAGGCGACCCTTCGAGCTTATACTCAGCACGATGCTAAAATGAGTTCTCTAACCATCGCCAGGTGTTAGAAAACAAAAGAAAACGTTCTCCAGCTTCAATCAGAAGGAAGACAATAACTTCCAAGGGCCGAATCATTCACTCAGGAGCAATACGGGAAATAAGTTAAACGTGGCTTAATTCGTATAACTTTGTATCAGTAAGCCTGTCTTGATCTCAGAAAACGAATTTATGATCGCGTCTTGAGAAACTAACAAAACAACATTTTGCACACATTGTATATATAATACTTTCATGATTTTTACATAGTTGTCTATTGCTACGTTCATTCTCCGTTCTTTCTAATGCTGCAACGTTGTTCAGTTAGAAGGCTTTGGGCACGGTGATTTTTCCTCATCCACAACAGGAGGAAGATACATGCATTTATTTTCCGAGAAAATGAGTTTCTCTTTATGTTGATTGACGGAATGATCTGTTCCAGTGGAACAGTGTATGAATTAGCTGTGGAGCACAAAGTGAAGGCTAAATTTTATTGATGCTACTTCTATTTATTACACGTTTGTATACAATCGATTATATCCCGTACGAGTCAGTTTAGCGATAAACCTACTTTATCTGAGTCGTATTTTGCCGAAACGAGACATTAAGTATTTGAATTTTAGTATAAAACTCTGCAGACTACAACCGTCAAAAAGGCAATAAAGAAATTAGGTTGGACACATACTTGGTGAAAAGATGTTTCTTGCAAAGTCATCTCTTTTTCCCATCTTCTTATTCCAGAAGCCTTAGCTGTTCACAGCCTAACGTGGGGCGCTCTATGATTTGCAAAGGCATAAACACAAATAATGTCACTAGATTGACTTCATTGTCGTACCTTGCCGCCAACAGGCATTGATTCGGTTATTCCACCATTTTTCATCCGTCAGGATCCAGTCGTAGCTGGCTTCGTTTTCCTATGCGGAGCACCATGATGATGAAGCGGCATCGCAGTCGCCAAAACGCATTATCAGGCCAGCTGACAAGGCGAAGCGCGACTTACGCGACGTGGGCAAATTATGACACGGTGCAGATATAGATTCCTAGCGAGGCATATACAGTTGACTGAGCATCATTCCGCAAAGAGTAAATGAATCTAGATGTGCATTAGGCCCCATTTAGGACAAGTGAGCATCACTTGTGACATGTCCAATCGATCAAGCTAGATGGTTTAAAATTCATGTACGACAACTGTCTTGCAGGAATCGATTTAGTACCACATTTTTAAACTATCTAAACACTACGTTCACGAAAACTTTACTAGAGAAAAGAAGAACTAGAAAAATCGTAGTCGCTTACAGGTACGGCGTCACCTGTTTCCATTGTAAACCTGTCACTGTCTCATGCTCCACTTGATTGCGAGTTTTTAGTTCTACTGCACATATTTTCGCCTTACGGAGCAAATAAGTGCATATTTATTAAAACAGTGCTATAAATCAAAAACATGTTATCTTATCAAATTTCCATAACAATGCATGAGCAACCTCCTACTATATTATAAGAATGATTCGCGAGCTATTATGGGGGTCGTACCGGCCTCAAAGCTTCCATATATGCTATATGAAAGCTACTACTGCTTCTTAGCTACTAATTCTAGCTATCATAATTAGTAATCTGTTCGACCTCGTACGCGGAATCCGTGGCCAACTTTTTGTAGCAGAAGTTTTCAATTTACACATATCTGTGTTAACGAATATACACGTATTCGTTTTCGTGCAATTTTATGTACCGCCGAATGATTCAAGTTCAGCTTTAATATCTTATAGTCGCACCACGTTCGCCTATTAGACAGCCCTGTCAGCTGACTTCTTGCTGCACGAGTCTATTTATTATCATCTTTAATGGCAAAATACCCAGATATACAGGAGGGAACATGCTGTGTTTGACACCCCCCGATCAACAATAGTTCTTTGACGCCAGACATAACGCATAATACAAGAAGATATGTACGTTTCACAACCCAGTCGCCTTCCGGGCAGATAGACCACGGATTTGTCACATTCCAGGACACGTACGATCGCATGGGCCACGATAAAAGCGATGTTGTTTCATCAGAAACCAATCGGTCGCGCCAGAGGCGGCTTTGCTGTGATCTTGTGTGTCTATCTGGTATAGACCTGCCACATATAATCGTCTTGGGAATCACTATACATAACTATACATCAACTATAAAGCGGTAAATAAAGACTGAAGTTGGACGAGAGCATTTGGTTCTATCGTGGTTTCACCTTGTATTGAATAAGGGCATGGATGTACATTTACCCAAATGAACCACTAATTACCTCGCGTAGGATAGCGAACATAGGACGGCTATGTCCACGGTCAAATAACGATTGAAGAAAAGCTAACGGTAAGAAAAGCTAAATAGGTTTCAGTCGATTGTTATCATGCTATGGTGAAATTTCATCGGGAGTGAATTGTATCGTATCATACATTATCTGATAAATAATAACTGTAAAATTTCGAGCTAACTAATATTTTCTTAGGATTTCATGTTTATTATCTCAGCGTATCTATTAATCGTAATCAAGAGACTACTAACGAAAAGCAGCTACTACCTCTTCGAGGAATAATCACTCCTCAGCATTTATTCAAAATTATTATTAGTTGTGTCCACTAACCGAAACTATAATCTCATACTAGATAGTGGCGTCGTATGCGCAAAACCTGTTAATTCAAGCTATAAATTTACAAACTTAACCGAATGGCCGACCTTTGCAAAGCCTTCACTCATGAAGTCTGCTCTTCCGTTTTCGCGTTTGAGCTATTGATATGGGTTTGTCTGCATCGCGCCACTTTGTCTCAGAACACCGATTGAAATAAGCTGGCGTAATTTTGTTCGGACGTATTCAGTTAGTAGGTGAGCGCATCTGGTTTCCGTTTCCGTTTCCACAATATGTTTCTTGTCCGAACAGTCGGAATGATATAACCGAGGAGATTCTTAGAGAGGGTCAAAGTTGTTCACAATACAATGTTAAGTGAGCGTCACCATAAAGACACAGCTTTTCG